TCTCCTTCTCTTCTTCCTGCATCATAACTCATCCAGTCACGCACTATATTTTTTTCTCTTCTTCCTGCATCATACCTCATCCAGTAACCCGCTGAATTTTTCACAGGAGACGACAGAGGCCAAGGAAATCTACGACCCCACAGACTTCTTCCGTCTGTACAACCTCGTCACCCATTCTGAACAGAGGACCCCTGAGGACTGGTTCCATCGCACCTGCATGGTTGTCTTCTTACTGAAAGCTCTGAAGAAGACCAAGTACTTTGAGGACAAGGGTACACAGATCAGTAAGTTCGGAGAGTTTTGTTTTTTTTCTCCTCTGCAACTATTTTTTTAATCTTCTTTTTTTAATTGTGTTATGTCACTGTATTTGGTATTGTTGGTATCATTTGTAAATCTGTTATGGTTATTATTATTTGCAAGTCTTTTTTTTGGTGGCAGATTTCTTCCAAACTAATCATTAAAACTGTTGATATAATATCTACCGTAAAAAAAAAAAAAATCCATTTGTCAGGCTCGGAATTCAAACCACATATCATTATTACAGAAAATATATATGCATAGAATTTCTCAGTTGTTCTAAGTTGTGCCATTTTATTTTAGATGGATTAATTGTTTCTCTTCTATGTATTTCATATAATCACAGATTTTTATACACAAATATTGGTTACCAGTATGTTATCTTTGGGATGTTTTAGAAACCGAAGAGAACTCTTATCCTAAGGAAAAGAATTTCAAGAAATGCATAAAATTACATCCAGGAATTTGGTACAAAAAGAGATCCATGATAAATGAGAATGAAGTCACCATTCAATACAAATAACTTTTCTATTATTGATGTACCTTCTCTCTAAGGCAACAAATACCAAAACTTACATAACCTTTATAGACACAAGGTCAGATATGTAGTGTGTGAGCAAAGCTTAAATGAAGCATAACCACAGTAACAAATGGACAATAAATCATGCCATTTTGAGTCAAATGCAACTTTTCATCAGATGTTAAAAGTATATGATAAGTAGTTCAGCCTCATTTAAAACATTGCAAATTATTGTTCTTCGTATTGTGGTTATATTTCATTTCATGGTCCTTTATGCTAGTCATTATATTCATTTTCAAAACTGAAAAAAATCATTATCTAATCTTCATGCTTTTGGTAGCGGTATCACTATCGGAAAATGTTTTCTGTAAAAGCAGAAGCAAAGACTAATCTTTATAGTGTTGATAGATCACCAACAATTGATGGTGAACCACAGAACAGCAACAAATATTTTTTTTAAGCATATGAAAGCTGATTTACATGTTTCTTATGGTTCTAATCATTTCATCAAGAAACATTCTTTCACTATTAAGTAAATCACTCCATACTAATCTCTGGACTTTCAGTACATTCATATACCATTAAGGACACCAAGTCACAAGAGGTAAATCTAGTGGCATCTACTACATACAAAACTGAAATAGACAGGAGTAGTTAGGAAAATTTTAGATGGTATTCGGATAATCATAAGAACTAAATTTAAAGATATTTGAAACATATAAACCCTGAATATACAGTAACCTCCTTCCTTTTGTTCCATGCAACAGATTACCCACTTTTTAAGGATAAAGGCAAGTGAAAATTATGTACTTTATATATTACCATACATACCACATAGGTCACTGTATTGTAACTTTTTTCTAAGAAAATGCATTTATAAGAAGAGAAATGCACGTATCTCACTCTTTCCTTTCAGCATGAACATCGTACTGATTCTATACAAGTTTTTCCATGGGAAAAATGAAACTTGCATGTTAATGATAGTCTCGGCACTATGCTAAAAAAAAAAAAAAATTGCATGCAGTTTCATGATACAGAAAGTAGCTGAATGTTGTCCTGCCAAAGTAGTTTTATGTATGATGTTGTTCATATAGCTGACAAGAACAAGAAGTTTTTGAATTGTAGATTGGTAAAACTTAGTTATCAGATTATGAGAAGAAAAATATTAACTAGAAAACAATTGTTTAGTATATGTTTGTATTTATATATATATATATATATATATATATATATATATATATATATATATATATATATATATATATATATATATTATATATATATATATATATATATATATATATATATATATATATATATATATATATATATATATATATATATATATATATATATATATATATATATATATATATATATATGTGTGTGTGTATATATATATATTTCACACACACACACACACACACACACACACACACACACACACACACACACACACACACACACACACACACACACACACACACACACACGCACGCATACACACACATACACACACATATATATAAATATATATATATATATATATATATATATATATATATATATATATATATATATATATATATATGTATATATATATATATATATATATATGTATATATATATATATATGTATATATATGTACAAACATGCATATGCATATGCATGCACACACACAC